ATGTTCGTAACGCCCGGGATGTGCTCTAGCCCCTTGATCTGGTAGGCGCGGGTCGCTTGGTCGTAGGCGAACTCCCGGGCTAGCACATTCAGCTCGGCCGACCTGGCGCTGCCTTTCGATAGCGCCTTGACGAAGCCGAGGTTGTCCGACCTTGCCCAACAACGATCCATGGGCCAAAGCCGGGAGCCACAGCCTGAAGGCGGCCAACAGAGCCAGGCCTTCCCACAACGTGTTGTACTTCGGCAGGCCCCTCTCTGCCTTGAACTTGTGGAGGACCGTATCGGGGATGTGGGTGTAGTAGTACCCGGTCGGTTTGCCTCCCACGCGTCGGATGGCTCCCATGCCCCATGGCGAGGCGTCGGTGACGATCTCCAGGTCCGAGTGGGGCGGGTCTGCGTAGAACACTCTCTCGATTGTGGTTCTCCCCGACAGCAGGGCCCTTACCCAGCGAAGTGCCGGGCTCACCCTCTTGACATGTATGAGGTGTCGGGTTCGCCGCAAAGGTTTGCCCTCATTAGTCACATCATGTCTCGAGAGCGCCGCCCAGAAAGTAGCCAGAAAGGGCGGGGGGTGTGGGACGAGGCCGGCCACGAACGAGAGTGCCCCAGCGTAGGAACGGAGCTCCCGTGCCCCTATGACCGGCTTGTTCAGGAACTTCTCTGTGTCTCGGAGAAGGGCCTGGACCTTGTTCGGCGGAAGGGGGCACGACCACCGCCTTTTCCGCATCGTTGCAGGAGATGCGGGCGCCCACCCATTCAATCTCTTTGCCCCCGGTGGCCTTGGAGAGCTTGATGGGGAAACCCGCGACCGCCGTCCATAGCAGGACCACGGCGAGGTCGGAGGCCGCCAGCTCCTCCTGAGGGCCGTCCAGGACGTAGATGGGGTCGTCCACGTAACACTGGAGGTCTGACAAAGACACGGCGGCCGTTGACCGGCCAAGCCATGCTGCCATCCGACCCCAGATCGTTGGGGACGAGGCCGACCCAAACACCAAGGTGTTGAAGAGGATGACCCTGTACTTGCTCTTCCGGTTCCGGTTGCCAGGAACAGCGGCGGCTGTGAAGCGTCGGTCGCCGCCGGCCGGGACATTCATTGGCGTCTCCCCCCGAAGAATGGCCTTGGCCGGCAGCTTGAGGCCCGGCCACTTGGCCAAGCAGCCCCGCAACAATTTATGCAGGGCGCGGCCTACCTGGTGCGCGCCCTGGACTCTGTCCAAAGAGCGGCGCGGGTTCCTCATCCCGCCAAGTGCCTGGCTGTTCTGCTTCTCTCTTTCTGTCCTGGGCTCCTTGGGCACGAGGGCCTGGAACTCCAGGCCCGGGTCAGTTTCTTTTCACAAGTCCTCGGTCTCCAAGGCTCGCTGGCGAATGCCTTGGAAGAGGCTGTGGGCGACGACCTGGCAGAGGTGGGGAGGGTATTCGCCTTGGGCCCGAGAAGCCCAATGCTCGCCCGAAGCATCACGCGTCCGTTTGCCAGCCGTGCTCTCGTGACTGCCTTTCGGATGGTCACACTTGAGTCCGCGGAGCTCGTTGAAGCCGACGGCGTGGGAGCTGAACATAATCTTGGTTGGCTTCTTAGTGCTGAGGCCAAGCCGGCACTAATCGAAGTCGACCTCAGAAGTGCGATCCAGCTGAGCCAGCTGGCGCATGAGCGGCATCTGCCACAGCTCGGGCCGATTGCTGCCATGGACGGGGTTCTCCAGGCCCCAGGTCCCTTTGCGGTCCCAAATCAAAGAAAGGGCGTCGAAGGTGCGCTCGACCAGGACGTTGGCCTCCTTCAGCTGCGCCTTCTCCTTCGGGGACAGGCCCCCCACTCCTTCAATCTCTTCGACCGTGCGAAGTGGCCGGGGCCCCGGCCGCACTTCGCGAAGAGGGCTGAAGGTGCCGCACGGAGTCGCGGCCCAGCAGGCAGCGAAGTTGCCGTCGTTGATGTCTTTCTCGACCTGGCTCCACTTATAGCCTCGTCCAACACGTCGCAGCGGGTGTCGCAGACGAGGTCGAGGCAGCACACCATGAGGCCGTAGTGTGCTAACCAGTTCGGAAGGTCTCCCCTTCGACGGCGCCCGCTAAAGAGCACCAGGACCCAGGGCCTTGTGACGAAGGAGTCGGAGGGCTGTTCCAACCAAGTCCCGTACTCTCGAGGTCCACGTGCCAGGGGCTCGTAGTCGGGGTAGGTGCTTTCCACGGGAGGCACCTGCACCAAGCTCTTTGTGGTCACCGTTCCGGCGCGGCGCGGCTTCTTTGCTTTGCTCCCTTCCGGCCGTGCTGGCTCCAGAAACGGGAGGAGTTGGCTTGTGCTGCCCTCGCTTCCGGCCCAGCGCTGGCCTTGCATCTGCCCCGGCCTTGCGTTTCAAGAACCTAGGCGGCGTGGGTGGCTTGGCATGGCCTTGGCCTGAGGGCGGCGAAGCACCGGCCGCTTTAGACTGTGCCGTGCGATCCACCAAGCCCTGGTTCGGGTCTGCTCCTGCCCTCACCTTCGGCTTGGGCTGCACAAACCTGCCACCATGGGTGGTGCCGGAGGTCCCGCGCTGGCCGAAGCGTCCCCCGGGGGACCCGAAGAGGAGCCGGCGGCGGGCCCCGGATCAGCTGGAGCTGGCTCGGGTCAGCTGCGGGTGCAATCCACGGCCGAGTGTGGGCCAAGACAAAGATTGCACTGGTGACTGCAGCCGTCCTTGCACTTGCTCTGCGGTTTCCTGGAGCCGCATTTGCCCTTGTTGAAGTCGGGACAAATCTTGGCTCCCCTCCGGTTCTTCACGAAGACGCCATCTTGCTTGACACTCTGGTCCTCGCCTTCGTACCGCTTCTTCTTCGACTTCTTCTTCGGGGACGGGTTCCCAGCATCAGCACCATCGTCCACTCTGCGGCCCGAACTCGGCTGGCCTCCTCCTCCGCGGTTGGGGCTTGCAGGTCGCCCCGGGCGTTGCGAAGCCAAAGGGTGGCCGGGGTGACCAACTCTCTGGTCCAATAATCCCCGTCGCGAATGGCTGCTGCGAACACTGCGTTCCATGGCCGGGCGGCGGTGTAGCCATGCGCCGGCTTGTCATGCAATGTTCTCCTTTCCTGAGCCTTTCCATGTGCTCGCACCTCAAACGGTTCTCGGCACGATACACAAGCCACCAGGCGCTGTCACCAAATTGGGTGACAAAGCTCCTCACATGCTCCGCGTAGGCGTCCAGCCTCTCTGCGTCCACCGTCTCCAGGAGCAAGAGGGCTGTCCGGTAGACCTTCCAGGCCTCCACCCAGGAGTGGTATGAAGAGGGGCCCGGCTGCTCCTTCTTAGACCACTCGCCCGTCGCAACGTTCAAGGTGTAGCTGGTGAACGTCTGTTTGCGAAGCAGGCGCAAGCCGTGGGGGCCGAACAAAGAGAAGTCCGCGTAGGGAACCGACCCTGCGGCCACCACCTGCTTAAGGGACGCCAGCTGGTCTGCCGAAGGGTCCGCTTCTGCACTTGGGTGGTCCCCGAATTTCGCCTTGTAGTGGGCGTAGAGCTTCTGAATCTCGAGGTTGCCAAGGGAGACCACGTCGGCGTCGAGGGTGGGGTCCAGAACAGCCGACAGCTTGAGTCGACGGCTTCCGGCGCCTGATTGTCCACCCGACGCTGGTGCACCCGGTCCTGCCACGGAGCTGGCCCAGGCGTGCCCATGGAGTCCGGTGGGATGCCCATCCTCAGCAGAGCCACCCTCCGGGTCGACTCGATACGGGCCTGCTCCACCAAGGTGAGGTCACGGAGGGGCCCATTTCCCTCAGCGTCCACAGAACCTGGAACTTGGAGGGCTGCAGCCATCGCGTCCCAAGCCGGCCTAGGCACGAGGGCGAGCTCTCTGACTCGGGCCGGATCTCCGAGGGCTTTCCTGAGGGACTGCTCCAAGAACCCTGTCACGCCGGCCCATGTGAAGACGCCGCCCAGGTCCGTGATGGCGTTCAGCTCCGTCTCCGTCGGATCCATGGTGGAGAGCAGGGCCCTCGTGAAGTACCGGGCCTGGTGTTGATGCCCTCCGGGTCCTCCTTTTCAGGTTGGGCTTGGACTCGGGCGCGTTCCTCAAGGAGTAGGTGCCCAAGTGTGCAAAGGCCAGAGAAAGGCGCCTCCGGCTGCGCACAAAGTTGATGGCCCTCTGGGCGACGCGTGCCCAACGAGAGGCCGGAGCAAGGCGTGTCGGCGGAGCCCGGGCCACCGCTGTGTCAAACCCACCCGTAGGGCGACGGCAGACACAACCGCAGCAGAACCCGAAGACCCAGACACACAAGCACAGGCTAGTGAGCAGTGCCCAGTCCCCGGAGCCCTCCAAGTACACGAGTGGGCCACCGAAGGCGACGCCCAACCCACGTGTCTCAGAGACGACCACCAGGTCCATGCACCCCCACCTGTCACTGAGATCCACCCTTAAAAGACTCGGGTGTCACTCTTGACCCAAAATGGCCACGAATGACACAATGAACCCACCATCCACGTTTACGATTGTCACTACAACAAGCGCAGGCTTAAGTTTTGCACCACAACGGATGAAAGGTTACACGTGCATATTCTACAACAGCCGCAATCACTGCACCATCTGTTCAAGGATTGAATATTGATGCTCATCAACGTGCTCGCCTGGAAGCCCTAAGCCGCTACACCGCGAAACCCTGAAGCCCGAAACCTTAAATGCCCTGAACCCTCGGTTTGGGGTTTTGGGGGGTCGGGCATGAACCCTACACCTTGAGATCCCAAATGCGAAAGCTCGGAGTCCTGGGCGAGGCCAAACGAGACGAGCACAGCACGGCAGACGTATCCCCCTGCGTGGAGGGCATTTAGGGCTGAGGTGGCGACTGCATGGAGGATCAGAACCTTGAATAGTGGGCGTGAAGTGATGAACGGCACAGGTGGAGCTCTGGCTCATTCGATGCTGCTTAAGAATGAACCATGGTTAAGGACGTTGTCTACAACAATCGTTTTGTAAAGCGGCGTAGTGTACAGTAGCAGGCAATCAGCAGTGTCTGACGTATTGTGCTCTCAATTTACCAGAGTAGGCGCAGGCCACCTTCAAGACATTACTGGACCGGCCAGAACACATGCATCACTTTGACTATACTTGGAAACTGGTAGTACGATGTAACTAGGGTCATCTACAGTATAAGATCGTATCCTGTAAAATGCGCTGTGTCTTCGGACCCTGGTAATGAAGCAGACTCTGAACACTCGCTGGCGAGGTTTGGGCGCGGAGTTCAAGGAGTTCGCCCATGTGTGTGTGCTCCAAGTGTTGTAGAATACCAAGCAGTGTAGTGTGCTAAGGCTTCGTTTCAGATTTCACACACACCAACACGTAGCTCAGCATGTGACTTTTGTGTGGTAAGCCCTTTAAGTGCTATTAAGCTTGGCAGAGCCAAGCAATGGAGGGGTTGAGTTGGACACCCCGACTGCTGGGCGCGCCTCCATCGAGACAAGACCCGGCTGCATGGCGCCATAAACTGTGCCAAATTTGCGGTGTCTAGATCATACAATGAGGTTGCAACGATTCTGTATAAAGTGGTAGAATGCATGCAACGATGGACAAGAATCAAATTTAATGTTCACCTCGAAGATCTCACGAGAAAGCAAAAGCCTCAAATCCTGAACCCAGTCAGGAGCTATTTTGGCGGGGTGGGACCTTCCAGGCTTCAGGGCCTTTCAGTCTCCATAAACCTCCAGGCTTTATCATACCTGCATGTCCGGATATGACATAGCAACACTGAGTGCCACAGGTAACTGCTACTCAGTCACAATACTGCGGTACGGTGTTCTATGACATAACACCGTACAGTGGAGTACAGTATAGCCTACTATAATGTGCTATATCAGCCTATACTGGCCTTCGCTATTCTGCAAAACAGTACCATAAAGAAAATAGCAGAGGAGGATAGAGTAGAGTAGAGTGGACACGACTGGGGTGGGGTGCAGTGTGTCGTAGCATGAGAACTCAAGATGCAGGGCTGCAGCTTCAAACGTTGGAATCCTCGTCCCAACGAACCGACGAGGATTCCGTGGCCTTCTGAGCCTACCATTCGACCATAGCTTCTCTCTCAAGGTGGGGGTTTTGCTGTAAGACTTCGCTGCGCCAAAGGAGAACTGACCCATGCGGTGTGGGGCTTACCTGAAGCATTGGGGAGGTTTTCGCGAAAGCATCCCCGGCCCTGAACAAAGCAACCACTCGCACGTCCTCATTCGTCACAAAAAAAAGAAATTTCAGGATGATGCCATGGAACGGAACAAACTGCACATATCCTCCAAAACAAACTTGCTTCAGACAAGACATTGATGCTTATATCTGACTGCTGGATTTCCCCACGACCATCCACAACATACACCACAAGAACAGGCCATGACTATTTCCACCGCCTGCCTGGCACGATTCTCACTTGCCATGCTTCAAGACGCACAAAGCTTGCGATGCTTCCTACTTTCGTCCAATACTTCCACAAGTGGGCTCCAGCTCAACACTCGTACTCTGCGATCCTACACTGAAGCTGAAAAAGTTAAAGGATTAGAGCGTGCCATCCTCAAGGGCATCGCTATGCAAGGGCAGGCCAGAAGCACCCCGTGTTGCCTGCACGCTATCGGGCAAGTGCGGCCGGTGTGCACAGGGAGGTGTCCAGTCTGTAACACGCTGCGGTGTTCAGGAGTTTGCACGAGAAGTCCTGGGGCACCCTGAAGCTAAGCTCGCACGGCTTCGGGCAGACGGAAGAATCAGACTTGGCAGGAGGTAAAGCAACGTCGAAGCTTCTCAAAGCAACCTCTGAGCTTCAACCAAAGTCCTCTGGCCAACAGAAGAAAGCTTTGAGGAGCCTTGACAAGGCTCCTCGAAGCGCCTGTGGGTGGCTGGGATGA